TCATTGATAATTATTGCTGTTATCATTCTATTTTATGCATCATATTTGGAATAAATTAAGTGTGGTTGATTTGCTCATTGTAATTGCTAAAAGCCTGAAATGTTGGCATATTCTCCCTTCCTCCTTTTTCATGACATGTCCACTACAACTTATTTGTCCGTATGTGAAATTTTCTTCTTGCTTAGGTATCATGTTATAAATCTTTATTTTAGTTAATCACTGCGTCCCCCCTCCCCCATATCTTGTGTGATATACATATTAATCCAATTTCAAATGTATTTAATGCCTTGTGTTCAAATTATTTTGGTTGATTTACAGATATTGTACAAGCACAAGATTATTCTTTTTGGTGGCTTCTATGACACTCTTAGAGAAGTGACAAGATTATTCTTTAATATTGAAACAAATTCACAATGACCTTCTGCACGAAATTAGATCCATTGGAGCTTAAAATTGCCTCTAATTCATGCAGCCAATATCCAACTATAGGTTATTCTTTGCTACACTTTTCTTTTGTGAACTTTTAGTACACGTTATGTGTAACATGTTTGGGTTGAATTGATAAACACACCAGTTATAGAATTTCTCAATGTTTCTTTAACAATACCTTTGATTATTTTTATTATTTTGTCAATTATTCACTTTTTGTTCCTAAACCTGTTGTCTTCTACCTGAAGCAATTCTAGTTAATTTGGAATAAGTTTAGCATAACAAACTTTTATAAATGCTATTTTTTTCTCTTTACACAAAATTCAAATTCAAAAGCATAGAAAAATATAGTGGATAAAAATAAAAAGAGAAGCTAAACAAAAACATTAAAATTGTTAAAAATATTTCATTAAAGAAGAATAGAAACAAAAGAGATAGAAAAATTAAAAAATACTGTAAATTAGTTTAGTAGATTTACCTTTTTAATTATTTTTCCCTATTTATTTCCTATCAAACAAATATAATTAAATTCGTCCTCTCTATTTTCATTTTCTCCTCCCCCAAACCATTACTAAAATAGACCATCCACTGATAAAAGTGTATTTCCTTTAACTAAAATACAAATATAGGTTCAAACCTTTTTCTTCAATGATACAAGTATATAGACATTTTAGTACTTAACTAAACTGCTCCAATCGTCATTTCTACATCTTGAAAATTCTGGCTACTTCCTAGTTAATTTTTGTTGTGTTTCTTTCAAAATAAAATATATTTTTTGAAATTTTCAGGATGCAATTATTTTTCATAAAGAAATATTGCGGACAACACTTGAGCATCCATTACTACGATGTGCAGTTATAAGAATTTTTCAACAGCAGTTTGAAGCAGATGGTTTGATGAATTAGGAAAACAGAATATCTTCATCATAACAAATTCATACTTTTTCAACATTGATGATTCTTAATCAGCAACATACTAATAGAACATTATGAAAATATTATCTTCATCATAACAAATGCATACTTGAATCAGCTTACATAATGTAAGTTTTATCGCTAAAACTAATCCTAAATGGATTTTATATGGCCATAATGTAAGTTTTTTAGGGTCATGATTATGAAGCATTTGTAAGGTGGAAACACATTCTTAACTCACCCACCAAGAAACTAAGCCACAGAGACATCAACCAAGCCAATAGGACTTGGATAACACCAGTCTCAACCTCACCAAGTGAAAACCACAGATTCAAGCCAAACTAAACAGAAATAACGGTACAAAAAACCTTAATAAACCAAGATCTTATTCAACTAACAGAGCCACCAATTCAATGATTCATTTGAAAATAAACCAGACCCGGGCTTAATAGTTAACTAAGCGAACGGTTCGAGACTCCAAAAAATGTGAAAGAAATAGGATTAAAGCATAATACCAGGCTTAACCCGCTGCCTCTATATCTCACCTCTAGCTCACAGCGAGCTCAGTGGCACAATGGGGGTGGGCTGGAGCGAGGAGAGGCGGTGACCGCAGCCGGCGTCGAGGTGACTCAAGTTCCAGGCTAGGGATGCTGCGCGACAGGGGGTGTGGTCGCGTGCTGACCTGGAGGTTGATTTGCGGCTGGGTTCGCGGTGGCCGGCTATGGGCAGTGGTGCGCGATGGTTTGGGGCGAAGGGAGAGATTCAACACAGGAGGGAAGTGGAGCAGAGTGGAGACGTTAGTGGTGAGGAGTGGGGGTTGGGACGCTCGATGGTGGTGGTTGTCGTGGATGACGAGGGGCTTTGGTGGAGGTTGGATTAGGGTGAGGCCGCGACTGCGACTTGGCCTTGCGGTGGCTCGACGAAGGGGACGATGACCTCACAGTGGCGGTGCATCGTGAAGATGGTGGTGGAGGCTGCGAAGACGGGGTTTCTGCGAAAAGGGGGGTCTGCGGTCGTGAGATGTGGTGGTTCCGATGAGGGTGATTGGGCGAGAATCTGGAGGCTGGAAGCTAAGATGTGGTGCGACTGCGGGGTGGTTCTGCGTTGGTGAGAAGCTTTGGTGAGTGAAGGTGGAATTAGGGCACGGGTATGGTTGTGGTGGTGACGGGGAAGAAGCCTGGTGGTGGAGGAGAATAGGGTTGGGTATATGGGTTCAAAGGAGGATACCGTGTGGGGTGCTCGAGAGTGGGGAGGCTGCAGCTAGGGTTCTGGTGAAGGAGGTGGGTGGCGGGTTATAGAGGAGGTTAGTGAAATTGAGAGAGAGGAAGGAAGGAGTTAGGGAGCTTGAGTGAGGCACGGAGGAAGTGTGAAAATGCAGGTGCGAGTGAAGGTTTTTTCTTTTTTCTTTTTTTTTTATTTAACATCCGTAGGTAAATGAGTAGGTAAAGTAGTAAAAAAACATTACCTACCTCTTACATCCGTAGGTAATGCATAATCATCTCATCCGTAGGTAAATTTCGTAGGTAATAGCTAATTTATATACGAATATTCTTTTGTAGGTAATATCCGTAGGTAATGTATATTTTACCTACGGATTTTTATTCGTAGGTAATATTTGGTAGATAATAGCCTTTTTTTTTGTAGTGAAGTTTGTTTTTCATTTATAATTTTTTCTCATTGACTATGCATGAAAAAAAATAATTATGTTGTCTATATAATTTTCTAGCAATATGATAATTTGAGCGGTTATAGAAAAGGTCATTATGTGTACTCTATATGTGAAGAAAACATAAGTTATACCTAATTGAAACATGGGCAAGAGAATGTTGTGTACACTAGAATCACAAGTTTCTTGTTCGTAATTATTTATACCATAGATTAAATAAATCATTTAAAGGATGTTAAGAGCAAGAATATAAGCGGGTGAAGAACATTAACATTATATTCATAAAGACATAAAAGAGGTCCATATAGAAGAACATTTGGAGGAAACTATCAATGCTCATTTAGTTGAGCAGGCCACTCTAGGCTTATTTGTTCCCCATGGCCGAGAAGGCATATTCATGATGACCATAGGAAGATTGGAGCATCTAGGACGTGTGTGGTATTGGTGGATCCTAGGGCCTCCATGATTACTTTGGTCCACCATCATGGAGGACAACTGCTAACTCTTGCAATCAAGGAGCCTTGCACAAAATGGAGATGTAGTTTAAAGAAAAATTGAATCGGATATAATAGTCTTTCAAACAAAAGTTCGATGAGAATCTTGAATCCCTTGCTCGTTCTGAACAACAGACTCAAGAAACACCTCATACAATTGAAGATGATGTTGTTCAAGTCAGCACTAAAGGGAGTGGTGTTATTGCTATAAATTCCTGAGGAGAATATACCCACAATGATGTATAAAACCAATGTGAGTTATATGTTAAAGATGACCTTTTGCGTCTAATGAAAATTGGTCGAGTTTTTTAGGCTGACTTAACTATCTATGGTGTCCCTGTACAACATGACTGGACGCAAGTAATGGTTGATGCACTTCATGATATTGCTACTTTAGTGTCTTTGCCCCAATACATAAGTTCAATTAGTGGAGCAGATGGAAGAAATCAGGAGAGTACTAGTGAAGCTGTGAATTGTTAAGTGGTAAAAATTGATATAATTATGCCTTGAATTGTTATGAAACCACTTAACTTATGTTAATTCTAATATATTTTTCTCCCAATATAGTATGAATTCGAGAATACCTTGATACAAGAGTAAGGAGTATAATTGTGAAGTAATTGAAGAAAAATTGAAAGAAAGAAGAACGCTTAAGCGAATGAATGATACGAGGCCCGACCCAAATTCTCTTATAAAAAGATAATATGTGTTTTGAGAAAAGGAAGCAGTCTTGGAGAAGAGAAGGCACAAATACTGTTATGGTTTCGTCTAATCTTCATCAATTCTTCACTTCTTCATCAATTAGAGCATTGTAATGGCCAACATGAGTAACTAACTTCATTCTCTTAGGATTCGGTGCACTTCTTTTGAACTCTTTTGTATCATGGTGATATTTTGAGATATTAATCTATGCTTTGATGTTGTTATTTTTATCCTTTATGCTTTGGAATGATTTATTCTTGATTGTTTAAGGTATGATTGGAAAATATATCTTGAACCCTAGATCACGGTAAGAATATTTGTTACGTTAATTGTCAGGAATGGAATGAATGTATCAATTGCTTAACACCCTAAACCTAATGCTGGAAAATCTGTTAATTGTGTGGGGAATCAACATTTATTAGGTTTTCTTATGAATTTCATGTGTGAGGAATAAACATGGATGATTTGAGTAGGTGGCGTTAACATTGTTAGGTTAATTGACGTTCTTAATTGACATAATCATTACAAAAGAGGGATAAGGAAGAAAACAAATCCTAAGTGCCTTTAATTGATATTTTCTCAATAATTTATAGTTTTTTGTCATTTAATTTCAATTCAACTTTTATTTGCAAAACCTAATCTGTTTAATCTACTTAGTAAGCATAATTGGGAATTTCCATTGAAACTGTTCCTCGTGGGATCGACTTTTATTTAATCGAAGTACTATACTACGATTGATAATTTTGGTACGCTTGCCAATAATTTAACATGAATGCATATTACTCTGAAGTATTGATGGGTCTAGCATATGGTGACACTCAACTTATTGCCACCGGATCAACACTTGCAGCCATGGAAATTCATGCAGCTCCAATGTGGTGGCATTTGGGAGAGGGACATAAGCTGTATGAGGAAGATTATACCAGAGAGAACAAGGTGGTAAGTGTTTTGTGGGCTAACAAGAGAGATAGTGGACTATGGTTTGCTCCTGCTTAGTGGAGAGAGTGCAGGCTTGGTATTCATGTTTTACCATTGTCTCCTATTACCGAGGCCTTGTTCTTAGATGTTGGCTATGTGAAGGAACTTGTGGAGTGGACAATGCCCAATTTGAACAGGAAATGTGTTGGAGAAGGGTAAAAGGGGGTTATCTATGCCATGGAAGGAACTTATGATAAAGAAAGTGCACTACAAAAGGAAAGAAGCTTGAAAGTTTTTGATGATGGAAACTCAAAGTGTAATCTGTTGTGGTGGATTCACAGCATGGGTGATGTGGAGGAGGAATTTGGTCAAGGAAAACATTGCTGGTTTGGCCATTACTGCCAGTAAATATTGTTAACTATAAACCATCACCAAGTCTTAAGAAGGTGAAAATATGAATGGCTAATGTTAAAATCTTGCCCAAACTACCATATTAATTTGTGGGAAATTTCATAACAAGTATCTTTGTAAAGACACTAAAATGAGATATTTTTTGTGTCAAATGTGTAGAGCATATTAAAACATGTTAGTTATTTTTGGTGGCAAGTTATCATTTGAGAATATCTAACATTTATTATACATTCAGGGCTCGGTTTTAGTTATATTTGTATGTATAATTTTTTCATGTTACACGCTTCTTTTTGAAACTATGATAAGGTCAACGTATCCGTATCGGATATGTATCCGATACTCGATTCACTTCGATACTTAAAAAATTTGTATAAAAATGATATTGGAAAAAAATAATTCAAACAAAAATAAAAATAGAATAAAATATATTTTTTTGTTATTATTATTGTTAAATTAATCAAAATATATTTGAATTATTTAAATATTTATTAAAACATATTCTAATTATTTAAATACGTATTTATTTTCCAACATTTTATTTATTCTCGAAAGCTTATAATTATTGTTGCCGTTTATTTCTCCTTGATTTTCTCTCGCTCCTCCCGTTATGGGTTTGTTTTTTATCTTTTTGTGTGTTTGTTTCTCTTTTGATTTTTTTTTTCGCTCCCTTCGTCTTTCAACTTGAAACTTTCCTCTTTTTTTTTTTCGTGTTCTAACCTGTGAGATTTCTTTACTTTTTCTTTAGTGTGTAATAGCTCCACCATCTTCTAGAGTGTTCTAACATGAGTTGGTGTGTGCAACACTTTTTTCGCGTGAGACTCATTACGTGTTGGTGATATTGGATGATAGGTAATATATTATTTATAAATTTAGTCAATATATTTGGATTTCAAAATATATAATATATTATTAATAATATATATTATGCTCTTAGATTAACTTTATTTAATAATTATTTATAATTTGATTTTTTTAATTAATTAATTTTTATTAATAATTTAAATAATTAATTTTTATATTAATACTAATATATTTATTATTTTTTAATAAATTTATATTTTTATCAAATAAATATTATAAATATTTTCATTCACTCATTGAAAAGAAATAAGTTGAATCCTAAAAGAACAGTAAGACTTGGTTTATGTGCATACTAATTTACGACTTTTGACTAGGTAAAATGAAGAATGTAATCAAGGGAACTTTAAAATGTGGAACATTACTGGAGATGCATGAGATAACTTTGATGGTGTTGAAAACCTTAGAGTGATAACATTATCTCTTGATGAACTAGACATGGAAACTATTTTATTTAACTCAAGGAGGAGATGAAATTGATATTATTTCTATTTTTAAACAATAAATAGTTATTGTTAACTTTTATTTTACATTTAATTTTTTTTAAGTCATATATACATTTAAAAATATATTTTATGGGTTCAATTTAAATAATATTTAATAATTATATATAATTTTTTTATGAATTATATATATACATATATATTAAATGTATCATATCTTATATTTTTTAATATAATTAATATAAGACGAATCACCGTATCGTATCTGTGCATTATAGGTTTCAACAGATATCATTTTTCCTAGTTCTTCTCACCATTTCACAACAATATACTCATGATTTTTAATAAATTCAAGGACTCTAATAAATCTTATTAGTTGATATCAATCATGACATTAATTAGTGATCACAACTCAACTTATATATATATATATATATATATATATATATATATATATATATATTACTGTAGTAAACTAAAATAAAATTGAGCAAAAATTATAATAACTTAATCTAAATTGAAACTCTAGTATTATAAAATCAAGTAAATTTCTAGGGGAATATAAGTTTTTTTAAGTAGTTTCTTGTTAGACTAGTAGGCAACTAAGTAATGGTATTTTTTAAAATAATTATAATTTCTTTTACATTGGACCACGTGAGGTTTGACGTAAAAAATACCTTAAATTCCTCCTAAAGGCTGAGAGTATTTTCTTTTATCATGGTGAGCAAGCAACGACAATCATATTGTGAGGTGGTGGACAATTCTCTCTAATTTAATTTGAACGTTTGGGATGTTTTTTGTGGGAGATTAGTGCTTTACATCTCTACTTCTTTCTTAAAATTGAACCCATAGTTGTTTTAGGGATTTCTATCACGCTAATGCATGAAGGTCTACATTAAATTATTGTTATTGAAATCAAACCGTGGCTATTTTTGCTATTTTTTAATTCAATTATTGTTTTTCATTCTTAATTTTGAAATTTATTTTTAAATTTAAAATTTATTTTTATATGAATATTAAGATGTGTTTTAGTTTCTAGGAATGACTAAATTATTTAGTTATTTGTTTATTTAAAATTTTACCTCGATGATTAAATTTGTAACCTAAGATAGTTATAAACAAGAATGGGTGATTATTAAATTTGCATAGTTGATGATGATTAAATTTATAACTTAGGGGTTATGGATAGAAGTTGAATGAATGCATATCGAGTTAGTGAAAAGTATGAAAAAGGAGTTGAATGGTTTTCCAATTTACTCGTGAAATTGGAAAATCTATTAAAGAGGTCTATTATTGTACATACGTTTGTTGTTTGAATCAAATACGTCAAGAACTTAGAAATATACATGATCACTCGTTTGTTTGTATTTGATATTGTTAAAAGTTATACAATGTGGATGTGACATGGAGAAATATAAGACATACCAATTATGTTAACAATAAGAAATTTTGAAAAAAGGATAGACGATAATTTAAATGAGATGATACAAGAAATTGACGAAAAAAAATTTAGAAGAACAAATGTGTATGATTCTTTGAAGTTTGATTTTGAGTAACAATGGTACCCTAGATGTAGTAACTTTACCATATTATTAACAACTTTAAGATTGTTCAGTTTAAAAGCAAGAAATGGATGGATTGATAGAAGTTTCCCAAAATTGTTGGAGTTATTGAAGGAAACTAGAAGATAACATGTTACCTAATCGTAATTATGAGAAGAATAGGATACTAAGTCCAATGGATTTGAATTATAAGAAGATTCACGCATGCCATAATGATTTCATATTGTAAAGAAATGATTTAGTTACATTAAAGGTGTGACCAACATGTAGGTTGTCGCGATTCAAAAAGAAAGCTAATGGAAGTAATGGTTAGGAAGAAACAGATGGTCGTACAAAGGTGTTATGGTACTTACCAATAATACCTAAGTTTAAAAGATTGTTTGTCAATAAAAAGAATGCAAAAAACCTGACATGATATGCAAATGGTAGAAAATGTAACAAACTTTTTTGACATCTAGCTGATTCTCCACAATAGAAGATGTTTCATGAAACATTTCTAGAATTTGACGCGGAATAAAAAAAACTTGAAAATTGGGATAGCTATAGATGATGACATGAATTCTTATGAGAACTTAAGTAGTAAACATAGTTCATGACCAAGTTTGTTTGTCATTTATAATTTGTCTCCTTGACTATGCATGAAAAAAAAATTATGTTGTTTGTGATAATTTTCTAGCAATATGATAATTTGAGCGGTTATAGAAAATGTCATTATGTGTACCCTATATATGAAGAAAACATAAGTTATACCCAATTAAAACATGGGCAAGAGAAGATTGTGTACACTAGACATCACAAGTTTCGTGTTCGTAATTATTTATACCATAGATTAAGTAAATCATTTAAAGGATGCCAAGAGCAAGAAGTTGTAATGACATCGTACGATGGTGAACAAGTATATAAGCGGGTGAAGAACATTAACATTATATTCATAAAGACATAAAAGAAGTCCATATAAAAGAACATTTAGAAGAAACCATCAATGCTCATTTAGTTGAGCAAGCCATTCCAGGCTTATTTGTTCCCCATGGCCGAGAAGGCATATTCACGATGACCATAGGAAGATTGGAGCACCCAAGACATGTGTGTATTATTGGTGGATCCTAGGGATTTCGTGATTACTTTGGTCCACTATCATGGAGGACAACTGCTAACTCTTACAGTCAAGGAGCCTTGCACAAAATGGAGATGTAGTTTGAAGAAAAATTGAATCAGATATAATAGTCTTTCAAGCAAAAGTTCGATGAAAACCTTGAATCTCTTGCTCGTTCTGAACAACAAACTCAAGGAACACCTCATACAATTGAAGATGATGTTGTTCAAGTCAGCACTAAAGGGAGTGATGTTATTGCTATAAATCCCTGAGGAGAATATACACACAATGATGTATAAAACCAATGTAAGTTATATGTTAAAGATGACCTTTTGCGTCTAATGAAAATTGGTCGAGTTTTTTAGGCTGGCTTAACTATCCATGGTGTCCCTCTACAACATGACTAGATGCAGGTAATGGTTGATGCAATTCATGATATTGCTACTTCAGTGTCTTTGCCTAATACATAAGTTCAATTAGTGGAGCAGGCAAGCGGAACATTCTTGGTTTGCCCAAGATGTTTTGTATTCTTGTATGTTGTGTTCCTTCTCTTCCTTTTGTATTCTTATAGTTATATTAATGTTTAACCAATTTGTATCATTTATTTAGTATTTTATTCATCGTGATAAACATAGGAGAGACCATTTTGTTTTTTTACCATATTACCACAGTTGAGGAAGAGATTGACTTATATACAATGGGACATTAGAGTTTTTGGAGTTGACCATTTTGTTGTTCCATTGTACATTTCCTTACCTGACACATTATTGTTGAGGAAAACTACATGTAAACATTTCTATCATACAATTATGAGTTATGTAAGTCATTTTCATTTATGTTTTTGACATTATAATAATTATATTTAACTTATAATTCATTATATTAGATACATTAACAAATTGAGTGTGTAGTAAAAAAATAAAAGTATATAGATTTATTAAGCCTTAATCCATCCAAAAATCTAGGAACATAAAGGTCCAGATCCAACAATATATGTAAACATGGATGAGTGACTTACAAAGGCATATATACTTGATTCCATATATTGATGACCAATATTTTAATTTTTTTTAATAATATTAATTTTATAACTAATTTGTATGTCAAACATTGTAGGTCTCAATCACAATTAATTGTAATCATCCCAAATTACATCATAGTGTGATTTAATTCGTTACATCGAAAACTCAACCAAGAAATGAAAAACTTATTACAAGGGTAATATTATCCTTTTTTATTATGTTTTAAAAGTGTAAATATAAATTGAATAATGTTTATTTTTATTTCAATTATAACAGTTTATGGAAGTAATATTTTAAGTGGAAGAGTCAAAAACAAAAAAAATTACACTTCATTTATCTAAATGTTAGAAAATTATTTAATAGAGGACATAATTATTGTTTGTATATAAACTTTAAAAATAATATTGTGTTTTGTTTCTTATTTTATTATAATAGGCAAATAAGCTTGTATGAATGTGACTACTACATCATGTATTGGAGGAAAGTCATAATTTGTGTGAATATCACTGATTCTTGGACATTCATGTTTAAGGTCTTTCAAAATTCATCTCTATATTAAACGATGATACAATAGATAAGGGAGTAACGGGTAAGATTTTTTATTCAAAATATCTAGTACTTAGTTTTCAACGTTTTAATTTGTATTATATTATGAAGTTTATTACTTAAATTTTGTATAATTTAGGTGGATACCTATGTTGTTTAGCATTGAAGCTCGTAACTAGTTTAACTTTTAAGTACTTTAATTTTTAAGTATATTTTACTTTTTAAGTAGGTTAGCTTTTAAGTAATTTACATTTTATTTAGTTATATAATTTTGGATAAAACTATTGTATTTTGGATTGTTGGTAGAAGATTGTATGTAAGTTTTGGTTGTAAGTAAAAACAAAATCAATATTAAAAAAAATGAAAATTTATGTTAGGTGAGGCGTTACTTGACGTACGTCTATTCGGGCATGATCTGATGTAAATTATTTTGCATTTTTTTTAATTTGTGAAACCCTTTTATGTTTATTTGGATGTTAAATTTACTTCAGTGTGACCGACCTTCTTAATAACCTAGGGGAGTCATGGCCAAATCGAAAGTTTTGTAACTCTTAAATAATTTATTATTTTATCCCTAAACTTAATAATCATTTAATATATTTATTTATATATTTACAATTTTATTATCTCAGTCTCCCTTGATTTTATCTCTCATATAATTTATGATTTTAATTTTCCAAACTTAATGATAATTTAATGTATTTACTTATACATTTACAATTTCATCCTCTCACAATTTCATCTTTTTTCACCATTTTATATTTATTTATTATTTTTTATAATATATTATTTGATCCCTAATTCAATGATTAAAGTATATCACTAACCTTATATAGCTACTCGAACGTGATGTAAAAAATCTAGAATAACATATATAAAATACATCTTCTATATTACTTAATGATAAATTAATTTTTTATAAAGTTAGATAACTAACAACCTAGAGATATTTTATGAATTACATAATTAATTATATACAAAAATATCACACCACCTCCGACTTAAACTTAAATAACAAAGTATACGATCTCTTATATATGTTATACTTTTTGAATCTAACTCATCCTTGTCTCAAAAAATATCTTAAATGAAATACAACAAAACACAAATATCTTAATCATAACTTAATTCCAATGAAATACAACAAAACACAGAATCTACGTCAAAACACAACTTAAGAAGACTCATGCAAGTATTTGCGATTTGCTAACAACTTCCCAACTCTAGAAAACTAGACACAAATCGTAAAGATTTTCAAAATGATTGGAATTGAATTCATATTATTGCCAACTTTATTTCTCGTTGTAAAGTCCTGTTGTTGGTGGTGATGAGTTTCCATGGACACAAATCACAAAGCAATGCGGTATTGATCAAGAACTTCACCAGCTCTCTTTCCCGTTCTGATTCTGAACTCCCTCAAATCTTCGTACGTAAATGGTCGATAACGTGGTGCATTGTCAAGTTCCACCAACTTAGCTGGGGCCTTAACATTACCATCCCTTGGTGCTAACATAAATGCACCAAAAGAATAACGAGTACCTGTTCCCTTGCATATTACACGATGCCTAACATTCCAAAATTTTCCATTGCTCCAAACCTGCAAAAGGGTACATTTATGTTCAAGGGTAAGGATCAATGTGATTCAAAACAACAAAATTATAACCTGCTAATCTATGATGCTTACATGTCCAACATCTCCAATAAGGCAAAGGAAGGACCCTGATTTGGGAGGCACTGCCTTAAATGAGCCAGAATCATCCAACAATTCAAGACCACTAACAGTTTCATCATCTTGAAGTAGAGTGATGAATCCTGTGTCTGAGTGCACCTGTACTCCCATTTCACCTACATTCTCTGGGGTGAAACTATATTTAATAGTTCTTAAAATGAATGGCCAGTCCTTGAAATCAACCCCCACTATACCCAAACACTTAGCCATCTTTTGTGAGATGGTTGATGCCAAGTCATGAATTGCTTGCCCATATGTCTTTACTATTTGCCTGTCATGAATTGAAATAATGCAAATCTCAGTGGTAAATACTTCACCAATTATGATGATATTTATAAAAGTAAGAACATAGATGATATACATAGCTCTAATTATTAACTTTATTTTTTTTATCATTGATATTATACATAGATAAATAAATAAACAAAAAGTGTTGAATAAAACTTACATGTGTGAGAAAAGAGAGAAACTGCACTATAATGATCTTTAACCGAGGGATAAAATTGGTCTATCATACACACCGATTATTGATGGAATCTTCGAGAGAGATATAAAAAGGTTATCCGTCATACATGTATTTATTACAATTAAAAATAAATAATATAATATTGTAAATTCTCTTAATTATATCTATATTTGTATTGAAGTTTGTTTTAAAATATGCTGTCTCCCCAAAATTTTCAATAGTTAAGTTTTAGTGATCCTACACAAAAATTTACCAATTTTTAGTTCATTCAATTTTTTTATAAAAAATAAACAATGATTCATATTTCAAGATTCTATCTCATTTGTAACTATATATTCTATATTATAACTTGTAAGGATGAACAATAGAATATTGGAGAAGAGAACCCCCAAAAGATGTTGAGATCGCTGCAAACATTTTGGACATTGAGATTGGAGAGATTCTCAATGAGATAATTAAATATGAGTATATAGACAAAGAAACAAGTTGTATTATAAAATAGATTCTAAATTACTAAAATATCCCAAATGAATTATGCAATAGGAAAATAAATTATTAAGTATTTTCCCTAAATTTTCTATGTAGATGCTAGTGCACTACAACTTGAAAAAAAAAAAAAAAAAAAAACACTGTACTTATATTCAGGAGCTGAAGTAGTAAAAGGAAGGAGAAGGAGCTTAATCATAGTGTTGATCCTAGTTAACAAAACTAAATTAAACTACCGAACAGATCCTAACTCCTCTAAAGAAAATAAGTCTTCTCATATGAATTTTGAAAAAAAATAAAAAAGTGACTGATCCACAGTATTTGATTTGTTTGCAGCAAGAACATCTCTCAATGCATAACCAAAATAGGATTGTCCCAAATGAGGAAACATCTCAACAGATATGATTTTTCAAATCAGATTTGAAGAAGAATTTTAAAAGGTTGAAGACTTAATGAATAATGAATGATTACAATGAATAATTAATGAAAGAAATGATGATGAAAAAAATATATCCCTACTGGGACTCATTAGTATTGGTGGTGGTGGTGACATCTGCGTATTACATACACATTCATGAATGATGTTCTACTCCTACAATATTCAGCTGTAAATTTCTTCTTATGAACATCACTTGTTTTACTTAATTAGTTGCTTCAGAGTAGTAAATATCTTTTGAGAAAAATGGGTGAGAGAGAGAGAGAGAAGTGGAAGAAAGGAACCTGTGATACTGAGGCAAATCCAATTGGGTGCAGAAATCTTCAAGTGCTTGTGGTGATTCATGCATGTCATAGATCCCCATGCCCTCATATAGAGGACTTGTTGGAATGGGAGGGACGAAGCCACTATCAGGAATTATGGATTTGTTGCGCATTTTGGTGTCCAAAGGAAGATCATGCACGAATTTAACCACTGATTTCATCTCAGCCATGAGAGTTTCTGGAATGGGGTGGTTGATGACCCTGAAACAACCACACTTCTCACATGCTTCTCTTAGCTTCTTCCACTCCTCCTCTCCCTCTGAAAGCTTCTGAAAATCCACCACAGGAACACTGGCCTCCATCTCTTTCTCTTTCACCTCACTTCCCTTGTTCTTGATCCTTTGCCTTGGATATGATTGTGAGAGTGAATGGATTAGTTAACTCACACTAAATATATAGTGATGAATGAGTTTTCCCTTGCTAAAAGGAACCATTTAAAAGGAACTCAAGAAAAAAAGAAAAACATATAAAAGAGATTCATGTGTTAACCATAAATCATTAAATTCCATTAAAAAAATAATTTGAAACTTAAATTTTCAAAATGTAACCGTGACAAAAGTGATAGTAAGACTTTTCAGTTTTATTATTATTGTTTATCCTATTAAGTAAATTAATGTGACACATGGCCAACGAGGACCATTTATAAAACTGTAAACAGAATGACACATTATTAAATAAATTACTATTGCATGAGGACAACGCGGACAGTTAAATAATACGTGTTTATATATAAATTATATTTATTTAAATTACAATTTAGAAAGAAAATATTTATAAATTATTCTTATTTAAATTATATAAAATTTATGCATATCTTAAAAAATAATCATATTTAAAAAAAATAAAATTATTATAAATAAAATTTTTAAAATAAATAATACTTTAAATATAATAATTAAATTTAACAATATCTTCGTCATATATTTATGATTGGAACATTTTTTTTTAATTTCTAGATAAATGAAAACATTATACTAGAAATAATTTTGAAATAATCAACAATATAAAACTTTTTTTTACACTAAAAAATATCTAAAACAAAATTTATGTTGATTTAGTATTCAAATCAACAATAATTCTTATGTTAATTTTGAAATAAAGTGAAAGTCAAACTTTGCTTTATTGATAGTTTAATAGATTATTAATAAGTTTTTTAAGAGAAGCATGTGAAGTATCAGGTTGCATCACTTTCGTATGATCTTCATCTTTAAAAAATTAAATAAAACAGAAGATTTGCATCAAGGTTGGAGCACATCAAGGTCAACATATAAAGCTTAAGATAAACATTAAAAATATTTATTTTAATTTCTCTTTCTGTAAAGGTTGCATCTTCTTTTGTCATTTAGATGTGTTCATGTTTCATAGTTTTGCTTGTGCCACTCACTGATATCTACACGCACTAAAAATTTTCTTAAAAGGAATAAGGTAAAATAAGTTTTTTATATTATAATAGTTATTAAAAAAATTGTATTAATTGAGTCTTATAAACTATGTTCGATAAAATTTATATACGTGACTATCATATGTGATCATTTTATTATAGTGGCATATGTTATATTTATTATTTATTTTTAGTGTTGAGAAGTATTATCTTGACTATTTTGAAAACTTGGACTGAGTTAGTCTAAAATCAAGGTTTTCAAATCAATTTAGGAATTTTTATAAGGACATTGCGAATAAGAAACCAATTTATAGTGATTTCGATTAATATTAGAAATTAAAATATATGGTTTTTGCTTATTTATTGTTTCAACATTTTTTTTTTTCATTTTTTTTAATCTCGAAGAGGTAAGTGTTTTTTTTTTAAATGGTTCTTCTTATTTTCAAGTTTATTCGTTAAGATTTTTAATAGCATTCATCTTTTGTAGTTATGGTTGAATTTGATTTAGATTTGAGATTTTGGATCTAAGGTTGGTCGAGAGTTTTTAACTACATCTTTATTGTTGTATTTAATTGGATTGTGTTTTGTAAAGAGGTTTTTCATGTTTGAAAGCTATTGCGTGGGATATTGAGTAAATGACTTAAAATTCATATTATATAAGGATAGAAAATTGATGAACGGATCAATGAATTGGTAGAAGATGTGCTAAAAATAGTGAATACAGATTTTGAAAGTCTTACATATTTTAAAGATGATACACATGTTATAAGTTTGTCTAATTTTGTTACAAGTGAAGTAAGTGAAGTTCATCGATATGTTCAAATCAATGTTATTATTCGAAAAAGTTGTTTTTATCATAAACAACAAATAGTTTGTTAAAAGGTGTAATTGATGAATGTGTTGTTGGAAAATACAAATGTGAGTTAAAGTCTCACATTGTGGAAGTTAAGCACTATACGAGGAAGAAAGACTCAACTTTATATCTTAAGATTTTTGGTTGAATGTGGTATCAATCCCTTATATGATTGGACTCATGTTTCATTAATGTTGTCTCTCCCTCGTGAATCTCCTTCGAAAAATCCAACAAGTGTTAATAATGACAAGTTAGATACAAACACTAATGTCCAAGTTGATGAAGTTGTTAGAATTTCTAATCAAGTTATTATTGTTTGTAATGATTCCACTAAAAATTTGGTTGCGAAGAAGAAGAAAGTACAAATGTGGGGGTGACTAAAAGTAGGATTTTGATGAGTCTTGCATCAAAGAAGACTACTACCCAAGGACAACTACCTCAAAGAAGACTATTTACCTTAAAGAAGACTACAACTCTTATCGAAACAAGACAACTACCCCAAAGTGCAGGGGTGACTAGAAGTAGGATTTTGAGGAGTCTTGTATTACAAAAGATTATTATCCCAAGGACACCTGCCTTAAAGAATATTATTACTCCAAAAAACACTATAACTCCAAACATGACAACCACCTTAAAAATGACAAAAAGGGGAATAGAGAGTGAGTAGAAGTGAAAGTTTGATGACTTGTAGTCCAAAGAGGAATAAAGGGAAAGAGAAAATTTCAAAAGGACCAAACATGTACTTGAGTTTAATGCCTAACGAGCTAGATTATAAATTTGATATAGAGGATAAGGAAATATTTAGTTCATAGAGTGAAACGAAGTTATTCAAATCGGATATGTGTATAAAACACTAAATGGTCAATTAAGAAGAAGTTTGTCTCATTAAAAGAGTTTAAAGATATTATTTTTAGGGGTGTTAAAGTTATTCAACTTTGCTCATACGAGTTAGCTCATCATGGCCTGAGCTGAAAATAGGTGAGTTTAACCCAGCTTATTTTATTGCAAGTAAAAAATTTCACAATCCGGTTCAACCCACTATAGTTTAGTGGGTCAGGTGAGTTAACTCACTAACCCATATTTATTTTTTTGTTCTTCAATTTTTTTTTCTAATAAGCACAACTGGATTGTAGGAGTGTGACAAATGTTATGATGCGAAACGTGACAAACACTATGGTGCGACTAAAACACAATGATGAGGTGGCGCAACGAATGTAGTGGTATGACGAACGCAGTGGTGCCAAAAACATTGTGGTGCGACTGAAATGCAATGACACGACAAACGTTGTAACACAAACTGAAACGCAACAAATGTTATAGCACGATTAAAATGCGGTGGCACGACAAATGCAATGAACATGGTGGCACAATGGTGCTAGTAATCAAAGTAACTGCATAAAAACTCATAACTAAAAGCAAATATGAGAAAAGATAAACAAAACTAACAATAGACAATAATAGAATTTTACTACTAGAAAAAATTGCAATACCCTCTTTAAATCTAAGGAGAAAACAATAATAATATTCTCTCTCAGAAATAAATGACTCAACTACTATGTAATGCACTAGTAAAAAGGAGAAGGAAAAGATTTTGGGTGATTTACAACATAGACTTGATGTGATACTTTTCTTCTCACAATCTCCCACATGAAGATTTTGATTAAATTAATCATATCTTCACAATACATTATTATTGCCTTTCATGTTGTTATTGTAATGGACCTTCACTAGGATCGCTTCTATGTAAACTTGTTACTATTAACCTACTGTCACAATATACAACAATTTGTTGCTACTTGTGCCCGAGTTCATCCATTATCCTCTTAATTCAAAAAGCTTCCTTACATGCTTGGGTGGCTGCCATGTACTCAGCTTCTGTGATAGACAGAACTACAACATCATATAACTTGGATAACCAGTTATTATCTCTCCAACAAAGGTAAACTCATCAAGATCACTTGTAAAACCTAAACAAACATAGCATCTGATAACTAGTTTTGATCCTCCGGAACATGATACAACATCCAAGGTTCCTTTGATAAGAATTCTCTTGATAATACTTATGTTCTCCACCACAATTTGTCATTGATCTACTAACCGCTCTCACTGCTTGTGCAATGTCTGGTCTTGTACCAATCATGGTATTCATAAAACTTCCCACTATCGATGTATACAGTACTCGAGACATTCCCATCCTCCCTGCTTCATTGTTAGGACTGATACTTGAGGATAACTTGATAAAAAATGGGGTAGAAACTGGTGGCTTACACCCTTGCATGTTGAAGCACTGCAAGACATTCATTTAGTAAGTAATTCTTCTAATAAAGCCATACCTTCCTATCTTTTCTGCCTCGGAGAATTTGCAGCCTTAAAATCTTGTTTATTGGTCCCTAATTCTTCATATCATACTTTCTAGTCAATTATACCTTCAAAACCTAGATTCGAACATTGTTGGAGCCTACCACCAACATATCATCCACATACAACAACAAAATAATAAAATCATTCTCATCAAATCTATTGTACTATTACAATAGTCTGACCTTAGTCTGTTGTACTCAATATTAATCATGAATAATCAAATATCTTATACTAACACCTGGACATCCGGTTTAAACTGTACAGAGAATTGGTCAACCTACAAACCAAGTTTCCTTTTTTTTTAAGTCTTCTGGTTGGAGTACATCAATCATTTTTCTAAGTTCACCTTGAAGAAAAATAATATTTGTATCATCGATAACAATAACCTTGTGGATAATGAGATCCACAGGAAATAACCTTTCACATTGTTAGCATAGTCCAAGAATTTGTCTTTTTCGAATTTTGAAAACACAAACTTCCTCTTGATGTAGTACACACATAATCTCCTGAAATAATCATTGTCATCACTGACACAAATCTGGCTCCTTCTAGGGATAATACTGGCGATTCCAACACATCATAATAAATCAAGTCCAATATTTGTTTCCTCCTGATACAATTTGATGAGAGACTCCCAAATCTCCTTTGTTATACTCTTCTCCACAAATTTGTTATAGCGTTGTTATAAACTTCTTCCTACCTTTAAT